CCTTTTCATAGAGACTCGTGTAACTGTCCTTTGAATAAATTATTAAAGAGTGGAGTTAATGCTCTTTCCTGTCTTGAAAACAATTTTTTGAAATTCTTTACAAAAGCATTGATTCAATAATAAAGTACTGTGACTTTAAATTCAACTGACACCTTATAAACAAACAGTCTTCCGGCAACGACTTTAAAAAAATTAATCCAAACAGTTTTCCATTATCACCAACTCGAAACAATACGGTAGGATTGCGAGTTACAAAAGTCTCCAAAAACGATTCTCTTTGGTAATATTTCAAAAATCATTACAAAATTTTGTTGCTCACTAAACAGATCGTTAACGTTAAAATATGAGTAATTTTTTCATAGAGACTCGTGTAACTGTCGTGAATAAAGAGTGGAATTACTGCTCTTTCATGTCTTGGAAACATCTGTTCGATATTTTTGCAAAACCATTGATTCAATAATAAAAACTGTGGTTTAAATTCCAGCTGACACTTTTTAAAGAAAAATCTTTTTGGCAACGACTTTCAAAAAAATGACGCCAAAAGTAATTTTTAAAGTTTTTCATAACAAAATTTAAAAAAGACAAAATGCAACCCCTGCTTTATAAAAGACAAAATGCAGTCCCCAATTTGTAGTAGTTTGAGATACCCATTTTTTGGTGTGGACCCGCAAGACTTAGGGGGGGGGGGGTTTGGGGCGTGGGGGATCCCCCTTTTGTACTATTTTGATATATCCATTTTGATGACTGCGGCGCACAAAATTTGGCCCTAACAGGGTCTTTTTAGCGCTTTGGGAGAGCTCGGAAAATCAATTTGGTCGACCTAAAAAAATAAGGTCATCAGAATTTTGGAAAACTTTTAAAAATCCGCTCCCCCTTCGAGAAAGAAAATCCTAGATCCGCCTCTGGTTTTACGATTAATGTGACAGTTATATTATCACTTGTTGTGATTTGTATCAAATTTTTCCTACCTCTTTTCAACGTTTTTACGCTTCGAAGTCTGCTACGATTGTTTTCTCGTCTGGTCTTATTTGACTGAAATTGATTTAAGTAGACGAAAACTTGGATTTTTACTTAAAAAATTCATAAACAGCTAAACATTTTTGAAACTTTAAGCCATGTAACAAAAATCTCAGTTATTTTCAAAAAGGAAATTACCATTTTTATTGGGTTCTTATGCTTTTACAACCGCGGCCCTTTCACGCAAATATGAGACTAAATTTGTCTGTTATATCTTATTAGTCTGTATGCCAATCAAACAA